TAACATGGAATATTTTCTTGATAATTCATTCTCTAAACTGTTTTTTGAGGGGTGGTGCATGATATTGGCTGCATTCTTTTCCAACTGTGTCTTGGTGTTTGCTTTTATGATTAAGATCTTCTGCCTGTGTACTTTCTCAAAGGGGGCAGCGTACTTATTTTTGTAAAATAGTTTTTAATAAATCATCATTTTTAAAAATACCTAGTTTACTGAAAGCACTTAAGACATAAAGCAAAGCCAGATCCCAGCACACAAGAGGCTAAGGCAAGAGGATTTCCAAAAATTTAAGGCCATTGTGGGCTACATAGTGAACTCAAGGCCAGCTTGAGCTTACACAGTGAGACCCTGTCTCAAAAAAAAAAAAAAAAAAAATCAGTCAAACATAAAGGACCACTAACTTCTTGAAAGTTTTGCCAGTTCTCTGCTCTGTCTTTGTTTCTGTGCTTTAGAAAAATGTGCATTTATTTACCATTTCAGGAATCACGGGTTCTGTGAGATTGAATCATGACCCAATTAGTAAAGGTTTTTCTGGGTCTTGTATAGAAACAATGTGTGATTTGCAAGGACAATTAGAAAGCTCTTTGGCGATTGACTGTTATGAAATACATCCGTCTCTGAACTGTAGGGTTCTTGCTAAGCAATTAAATAAATAGTTTATTAGTTAGGATATACTAACTTTTCGTAACAAAGAGAACCTCAAAATGTAGTGGTGGCTAAAAACTGAGAAATTTATGTATATATATTTTCTTTTTTCTCAGTCATGTTGAATGGCTGTTGCTTACCTCAGTGCACCATTAATATTTAATTGTAACATCAGATCAAGTGGTGACTGTTCATATAGGCATCCAGGAAGCCAGGTTGGAAGATCTGCCATCCTCTACACCTGCCTTCCTAGGCTCTTGTCAGCAGTGAGAAAAGAGGAGGGAGGAGTGCCATGAGCAAGGCCTAAAAATGGCATTTACTGCTTGTCCTCTTCCATGGGAGAGCAATTTGTTCTGTGGCCATCCCTCACTACAGTGAGGATGGGAAATGTAGCATAGCTGGGCAGCTGCCATAGAAGAAAGAAAGAAAAGGTTTTTAGAGCACAGCTATCAGTCTCTGCCACAAATGGTGATGCTATTTGCTGAGACAGGAAGCAGGAGGAGAGAAGCAGTTTGCAGCGAAAGGTAATAAATTTACTTTTGGATGTGTTATGGTGGAGGTATTTATAGGACTTGTAAGTGTGCATGTGTAGTAAGAATTGACAGCCAAGACAGATGACCTTAGTAAGATGACAGTATCAATTTGAAAAGAACAGTTTTGTTTTTCTGTAGCAATGTGATGATCCATTAATTTTGAAAGTTAGCCATAGGAAAACAAAGTGAAGATAGGAAGAAGAAAAGAATGCAAGAGAAAAAGATTATGTTTATTGTTACATAGTTAGGGCATTAGTCAGTCAGTCAGAGGGTTAAACAAGTGACCCATATCCCAGACACTGACCTGACTAATATTTATTCACTGTGTATTAAAGGGCTGTTAAAGACAGACCAACTTCTTGGTTTCATTTTTGCGGTGATGAGGGAGGTTAGTACACGTGTGATAGGGGGAAGAATTTACAGCAGTGACAACTACAAAGCAAAGGAAATAGTGTCTTGTAGGTCCCATATTGTGGAGTAGGTGGTGGCTGGGGTAATTTTCACCAGGGCGGTTAGGGTGCACCCCTTTGAGGCAGTAAATTGGGCTAAGACCTGAGCGAAGAGAATAACAAGACTTAAGACATAAGTAAAGAATATTACAGCTGGGAAATAGAAGGGACTCAGGTGGCTTGGGAATAGACTCGGGAGGTTTAAGGCTAATACAGTTGCCCAGCATCATCACATCACGCAGGAGGTGTGATCCTCAGTGTACAGTGTTACCAATGAGGTAAGTAAAATCTTAGTTACACTAGGAAATCACTGGACATTTTAAGCAAATAGGTGATGTGATAAGGTTTTATACTTTAAAATCTGTTACTCCAAAAAAGTTTTAAAGTGAGGAAAGCAGATGAGGAATGGAGGCAAAGAAACAGTTGCAGACACTTGCAGTGGTAATAGTAGTGGTTTGGACTTTCCTCACAGCTGATGAATTTATGAAAAATAGTTAAGGATCTAGTTTGTTATGTATTTGCTGGAAAGAAGAATTGAGAATGAGTTTTGAATTTCTGATTCCAGAATTAGTTAATTTATTTTCAGTTAGTTACTTCAGAATTAGTTAATTTATTTCTGATTCCAAATTAATTTTTCATTTAAAATACGAAATAAAGAATTCCAGCTTTCGAAAGAAGCCCCAGATTTCTTTTATAGGTAGTTAACCGAAGGCTGTTTATCTCAAGAACTCTATAAATTACAGTGTGAAAGAAATCTGTACTGGCTTTTTTTTTTTTTTTTGTACTGTTGGAAAATTAAGCATTAAAAAACTAAGTTACTTTTAACTGCTAATGATGACTATGTGATAGATAACTGCCTAGAACTAATCTTTTATTTAAATATTCCTGTTAAATACAACTTAGCCAGCTGAACTTAACTAACTCCTTCAAAATTAAACATGTTTTTCTTTTAAATATGAAGATAAAAATCCACTATTTGCACATATGTATTAATTAAAGCAGTTTCTCCTAGAGTGTGTGTGGGGCTTCATACTGGAAAATACTATAGGGTTTTTTGAATTCCTGTGAAGATAGAAAATATGAAATACAGAATTAAGACCTTGCTAAGTATGTGAACATAAGTTCTTGTGAACAGAAATTAGATTTCTGTGGAGGTGGATCTTTTACTGTGTAGTGAAGGAAGTATAGGATTTGAATTAAACTTCTAACACATTTCTGCTGGCTTGAACTACCAGTGGTATGTGCATGACTGTCCCACGAGGCATTTTGTACCATCTGATGGGACTGTCCCACGTCACTCAATTGGACAGTCATGCATGTACCACCGGTAGTTCAGAGCACCGCCGCCCCATAGCAATACATATGAATGACAGCTCTATAGTGAATGTGTTAAAGGACTTCAGGCACAATGAGGTAGATTGTTTTTAAGAAATGACTGAGTCTGATTTAATTAGATAGAGTAATTAGACTCAAAGACATTTTCTGAATATGCAAAGTTAAGTGATGCCAACAAAAACCACTAAGAACAGTACATTAATAATATTAGAAAAATCTAATTAATTTGTTAAAATTTTTAGACTGTTCTCTTTATTTTTAGTTTTTGTTTTGTTCTGTTTTGTTTTGTTTTTGTTTGGAGACAGGGTCTCACTATGTAGTTCAGGCTGTCCTTGAACTCACTATGTAGCCCAGGTTGGCTTTGAACTTGAGGCCGTCCTCCTGCCTCAGCTTCCTCAGTGCTAAGATTACAGACATGTGCCACCATGCCTGGCTTATTTTTAGTTGTTAACAAAGTCAACCAAACTTTTTTCTGTCTTTGAAATGTTTAATATAGTCCTGTCTGTGGTAATGATATGAAGCCCAGATTGATCGCTTGTCGTCTAGTGCTTAATGTACTTGGAGAAATCTGGCTCGGTGGGGTAGAGCAGGTCAGACATATTTTATGTTATCTGGAACTTCAGGTTGACTGTAGGCAAGAGGGAATTGCTTTCAAAGTTGTGTGCTGTTTTTCCTCCTTCTCAAAATTGGTTCAAGTCCAAGCCAATCTCGGGTAAATGGATTTGGAATACAGCTTTTCTGGAGAATTTCCTGTAATATGCCCTTTGAGTTTTTGTGAGTTAAAAGACAACTAGAAAGGGAGGAGGTTTAGAAGTGATCTGAAGACATAGATGATCAGTTTGAAGTATATACTCTTAATCACAGATCAATTGAAGACCTTTTCTGTCTGATTTCATAGGACATTCTGCATTCATCTGAATCAGGTAGAATGTGACTATTCTGTGGATTAAAAACACTTAGCCATTGAATTGATACTGTGATAGTGAAATTTTCCTATAAGGTAGCTAGATAGTCTCTTCTATGGCAGTGAAAGAGGTAATAGTATGTATATTCCTGTTCCTAGCAGGTGACAAGTCATCTAATACATTATCATAGCTATTACTAGTGGTCTGTTGCCAAACAGACCTCGAGTACTATAGTCTACATTTCCATACTTTTCTGTTCACAAACCTGAGAGGGTCAAAGTTAGTGAAATACTGCCCAAGATATACTCAGTTAAGAACTTGTTAGGGGCTAGGTAATAGCTCAGTGGTAGAGTACTTGCTGTGGGTTCAGTCCTTGGTACTGCAAACAAAACAAAATGGAACAAAATTTTCATTGGGTGACTCCAATTTGAACTGTATCTTGTCAGCTATTAGTGATTTCTCAGATTTGGCCAAAATCAACCAGTTCGCCGGGCATGGTAGTGCACACCTGTAATTCCAGCCTTTGGGAAACTGAGTCAGGAGGATCACTTTGAGTTCGAGGCCAGCCTGAACTGCATAGTGAGACCCTGTCACAAAAAGACAGGGAAAAAAACAAAACAAAAACCCACAGCACAATGAACCAGCTCCGTTTTAAAATCAGTTAATCATTTTAATAGTTTTTATTTTTTTTTATTTTTTATTTTTTTTGGTTTTTCTCCGGTACCGGGAACCGAACTCATGACCTTGTGCTTGCCAGGCAGGCGCTTTGCCGCTGAGCTAAATCCCCAGCCCCTTCATTTTAATAGTTTTTAATGGGTGGAAAGGGAAAGCATTACTCGGTGGTTGGGTCATATTGGGTTTATATGACCTATCTTTTATCAAATTATAGTTGACAGTAGCCAACTACTTTAATTTTTATTACATATATGAAGGGAGTTTTTTTTAAAGCTAATTATGTTCTCAGGTGTGTTTTGTGATTACGTACTAAATGCTTTACTGTATCTGTATTTGCTACTTACATGACAGTGGTTTTAGTTAGAATTACAGGATTGCTTTGATAATTAAAGTATTTCCTAAGTGAATCTCACTTCTTCCAATAAATACTAACTCTGAAGAGTGTTTTCTGTGTTTTTTAGTCGACCCTATACTAACAAGGTCATCACTTTATGGTACCGCCCACCCGAGCTGCTGTTGGGAGAGGAACGATATACACCAGCTATTGATGTTTGGAGCTGTGGGTAAGAGACTCATTGACTGACATATTTTACTTAATAAGTATGGTAGTGAATAAAATTATTTGATAATGATGGATATTTTTTCCACTAGATGTATCCTTGGTGAACTGTTCACTAAAAAACCTATATTTCAAGCAAATCAGGAACTTGCACAACTAGAACTAATAAGGTAAGCTGCTGATGATAGTATTGGTAATGATGTGGGGGAGTCATTCTCCATAACTTAACGTTCTCAAGCATACTTCAGAAGGAGAACAGTCTGGTTCTCTTAAAGCCTAATAACTACTAAATGGAGTAGGACCTAGAATATTGCCCTTACATACTTATTCTGTTAAAATTAAGAGTTTTACTGTCCCTAGATCTGTGTGTAGGGTATTGGTGAGTAAATCGGAAGACTTGCAGTGCTAAAAACAGGACTACTGGGAAGTGAGAGTAATACGAAATAGAGAATGAATGGCAGATAGTTTTTTTTTTTTAAAGGTATAGCATAACAGAAGAATTAATGTTTGGGTGTATTGTAAAAGAAATACTCTATTTTGTAAACACATAATATTTTCATATGCATCTATATGCATATGTGTACACATTGAAATATATGCATATACTTGGCTAGCAAGAGATCTTCATTATTTGATCCTGTCATAGGACCCCACTCATAAGCAGTTACTCTTATATGTTAGTCAACTTTCTCTTTATATTTTAAAATAAATTATTTTTTATTTTATATAGCCTAAAACTTGTGAGTTACAAGCTTCCATGAAAGTGTTAAAATAAGGATGAAGTCTTTTAGAAAAGATGCTGGTAGGAGGCATAGATAGAGAAATAGTAACTAAAGAAGGATCCTAGTTTCATCCGATAAACTTGAAAAGTGTCACTCTAAAATAGTAAACTAATCAAGTGGAAAGAAGATCCTGAGAATTGGCACGTATTCAGTTTGGGGGAGATAATTACCGTTAGTTTGGCCTGTTTCTCCCCACTGAAAAAACCCCAGATTCAGAAACCTCAGTGTTCCCCTTTTTGGTGTTTTGGTAAGCCTTTTGTTTTTTGTTTTGAAACTATAGGGCACACCAGGGAAAAATTACTGCCCCAGTTAGAGCCTGCTGCTTCTCTGGTAATAACTTGGCTACAGTAAGAAATATCCACACCAGAAACTGGCACTGTTTTTCAATGCCAAAACAGCCAGTTGCCTCAACTTAAAATAGAAGTGTGTACTCCAGACTTGGCTGAGGGGAATTCCCAAGCACAGAACTTTTAATTACAGAAATAGAAAAGGAGTGTCTTAGTTCATTTTCTGTTGCTGTAGGTTAATACCATAGACTTGATAATTTGCAAAGAACAAAAATTTGTCCGTTCATATTCTGAAGGATAGGAAGCTCAAGGTTGGGTAGCCACATCTGATGAGGTGTTTCTTGCTGGTAAAGGATTGTCTGCAAAGTCATAGGCAGCACAGGGCATTGCACGGAGAGACATAAGCTAGCCAAAGAGAAGTCACTCTCTAGATAACCCATTAATCAATTGAGCCGAATGACCCAGTCACTTCTGAAAGTTTCTGTCTCTCAAGTACCGTAAGAGTTTGGGGACTAAGTTTCCAAAATATGGAAACTGGGGACACACTCAAATTATAGCACTGTGGGAGGAAAGTCACCAGATATACAAGAAACTTTTATCTTTTAATACGTGATAGATAATCAGACATGGATCAAGGACTTGTCCTTCTCAAAAGAAATACACTTCTTAATGGTAATTACTGTTTATAAAATTTAGTTATATAATAGCATAGAAAAAGCAAATGCAGGTAAACCTCACATGACTGAAATGATTGGGACTATATTCTTTTTTTTTTTTTTTTTTTTGGGACTATATTCTTTAAATAGAATAAAACTAAAAATTAATATAAAAATGGAAACATTCTCATATCTAGAAATTTTAAATATAAAATTTCATTGGCTAAACCAGTTTTTAAGAGAAAATCATAGTCACATACTTGTTAATGACATTTTGGTCAGTGATGGACATACATGGTGGGCTGCATATGTGCTGGGGGTGCCAGAAGATTGTAATGAAGTTGAAAAATTACTGTCACCTAGTGACATCATAGCTGTTGTAATACAGCACAAGGATTACTCATTTTTGTGGTTACGTGAAACGACCCTACTGTGCTGCCAATGGTATAAAAAGTACAGCACATACAATTATGTAAGCACATAATACTTAACTGTAATAACTATCAACTGTTACTGGTTTATGTATTTACTATACTATACTTTTTATCGTTATTTTAGCGTGTACTACTTCTACTTATAAAAAAAGTTTACGGTAAAACTACACCATGTTACGCTGGCAGCAGCCTCATACAACTCAAGTTTACTGCCTCTCTTGATTGCATCAAGAGGCCACGTCAAGTGATTGACCTATACTATCTAGGTTTGTGTAAGTACACTCTATGATGTTCATATAGCAACAGAATTACCTCAGCCCAGTGCTCAGAGCATGTCCCTGTCGTTAAACGACGTACAGAAATGAAATCAAATGAAATAAGCAGTCTACTGACAAGTGATAGAAAAAACAAAACAGCTAAATACATGCAGAGAATAAGAACACTTAATGAGGTGTAGTACAAAAAATGTAGAACTTATAAATAAACTGCTGATATAGTGTTGGGTTTATTCACATACATGTATGATATAAATTAATCCAGTGGTTTAACTTAATATGAAAAGAGAGTATGGTGGCTCACACCTGTAATCCCAGCACTTGGGAGGGCAAGGCAGGAGGATCGCTGTGAGTTCGAGGCCAGCCTTGGCTACAAAGTGAGTTCAAGGCCAGCCTGAAGTGCGTAGCGAAACCTTTCTCAAAAAGACAAAACAAAAGAGAGCAACGATAAAATGAAATTACAATTATAAGATAAAAATTGACCACAGAAGGTAGGCATGCTGGCACATACCTGTAATCCTAGCTACTTGGGAAGCTGAGTTAGGAGGATCATAAAGTTGAGGCTAGTTTGAACAATTTAGCAAGCCCCCATCTCAAAAAAAAATTTATATTAACTAAAACAAAAAAAGAAATTGACTTTAGCTATGAGTAAAATCAAGTAATTCTGAGATTACTTGGTCCACCAGAAATTACTTCTGGAATACATTGGAAAATCCATGTGTATGAAATAGTTCAGTCAGTGCAGTACTCTAATAACAACCAGGTCCCAATGTTTTCATAGGTAATTTTGCAAATCTTTTAGAAACTAGTTATTGTAATGTTCTTTAAATTATTCCATAGGAAAATAACACAGAAGTTTTCTTATCCAAGCTTCTGTTAAAGAGAGTTATTAGTTTAATCCCTTCCTTCTGTAAATATTTGCTTGGTAAATGGCAGGCTGAATGCTTGGAGGTAGTAGGCTACTGCTTTCTAGTAACACCACATGTTTATTCCACCAGATAAAGAGGGTGATGACCAAGAGGTGGGTGGTGGTTTCCAACGTTTTTTGCCAACCAATGTCGTTTAATTAAATATAGAGAGATAAAGTGCTTTTTAGAAGCTTAAAACTTTGTTATCTATTTAGGACTGGGCAAATAACTGCATAAGTAGAAAGAAAAGTAAAAAAAAAAAAAACTAGAAGGATTTAGCATACTGATTGCATTTAAAGTATTTTTAATTTATAGCTTTTTAAAAAATCACCCAAAACTAAAAATCCTCGATGTGTTACGGCTGTGGTTTATGCAAGAAGGCTAATGCAGACTTCCGTTCAGTGACTACTCTGTTGAAAGAGAAAGCCTTTGCTGCATGTCTGGAGACTGGAAAATGAATGTACATTTATAAGTTTTCACTGAAAATAAAATGCTTGAATTATTTATCTGTGTATCTTTTTTTTACATGATTCCCTCTAACACATTTTTCACATAACCACGTACTGGTCCTGAATTTATTAGATATGAGGGCTTCTGTCAGTGATGGTTACCATCTTACCTAGTTTATAGACGATGCAAGTGCTGTTCTAAGAATTTCATCTAAATTATCTGTTAAATTTCATAATAACTCATTGTCTTCTAATAGTTAAGAAAACAGGATCTTAAAAGAGGTAAAGAATTTATCTAGAATTAATGTTACTAACAAATTGCAAAATCAGGATTTGAATCTAGACAGTGCTAACGTACTGTCCAAATTTTTAAACCATTAGTGTATACTACATAGGGAATTAATAAACTTGCTGCAACTTTTTACAGTGAATATGACACAAAAGACAACATGAAAAATTTCCTTAAGATACTAATCTAGAATTTCTAAGGAAGCTTTTAGCAAATAGTGTTCGGCTTTTCATTAGAAAAGAATGAAAAATATCCAAACACAGAAGTTTTAGAAAATTTGTGTTGAATAGGCATGTGCTAAAATGTAAAACACTTATATTTAAATGCAAAGAGATATTTCACAAGATAAAAACTGTATCATAAACCAACAGCCAAAATACTTGATTTGGTTGTAAAACACTAGAAATTAAGACAAAAGTGAGAAAACATTGTCTTCTGGAATCATTTAATAGTGTTTTGAAGAACTAGCCAGTTAGCTAGTAGTATTAGGAAAGTGAACCTGTCTGAGCTATATAGTGGAAAGGTGAAGACAGTATTGTAATTCAAAAATGCCAACGTATACACAGAGCATGCAAGGGAATAACTCAGAAACATCTCAGAGTAAACAAGTTCGGTGAGATGATGGGGAAAATCATATATACATGCACAGTAGCTTTTAAAAATGCATGCCAGTAATAACCAGTTAGAAAACAAAGTTGAGGGTGAAATAAGCCTTTAATGAAATCACCATGATGTATAATCCCAGGAATATTGCAAATTGTTATGCCCCACTGAAAAGTGTTACTTGAAAACTGCTAGACATACCTTGTTTTTGGCTAGACTCCTTAATTTTTAAAAAAGTTGGTAGTTCATCCTATTTAATCAGTACATTCCTAATAAGATTCTTAAGAATTTTTGAAATTTGACAATTGATTTTATGTTTATATGGAAAGACAGTTTAACTAAGACGTGTTTTAAAATGAATGAAAATGTTGCATATCATGTTAAAACTGAATTTTAACTAAAACTATTTGGGTGCAGATATTTCAGATCTCAGTGTATAATTGAACAGTATTTATTGATTACTGGTTGTTTGCCATTTCCTGGGGTC